GTTTATCCTCTGCCATACCCCTCTGCCATGCCACCCTGCCTTAGAGTCAGCCAACCTTGAATTGAAACCTGTACAAACTGTGAGCCAAAATGAACTTTTCATCCTTTAACTTGTAGGTGTTGGATATTTTGTCTCAGCAATGAGAAAAATAGCTTAAGACGGTGCCTTTTTATGGACTATACTTGGACCCCTGAAACGTTACTGGAAACCTCTGCAGTAGGTTCCAGTGTCCCACTCAGTGTATGATTCAGACCTGAGGAAAAAAACCTAAAAGACAGAACTAAGAGAGACAGAAAGTGGGGCACCAGGATGACCAATGCAGGTGCAACCGACAAAGGCACTAGCCAGTCCAAGCCACTGATATTTATTAGTAACCAATTGGAGTAAAGGCAAGAGCTATGTGCAAGGGCAGGACTATGTGAGAAAATGCACAGTCATGTGGTTTCTGTGGGAATTAATGTAAGCAAGGCATGTAGAAGACATGACAAAGAATTCTTGAATTAGGAACAGAATATACAAAATATATGGTTGTAATTAGAACATTGTCCTTCTATTTAAGTAGGTTTTAGTTGTGGGAATAGAATTTAGATGCCAGACTCATCTCTATAAACAAGCCAATTGTGGAGTTACACAGTCTTCACAGCCTGCACTACTTACGGCCTGCTTTGGGGCATAATCAATATTGCAGTCTCTCACAGTCGTTCATGTTTTTTATAATTTTGTTTAGCTCAGCTAGCTTTTTATTAGTGTCTTCTGTAATTTCACTCCTCATTGTATTACATCCATTATCTATTTAGTTATATCATTGTTGAGTTTGCCAAATACCTTATTGATTTATTTTATCTTGTCTTTTATTATGTCATATATTTAAGCTGTTTGGCTTTGGACTTCCTCCCCACTGATACCCCAAGGATCAGCTTTGGGAGAGTTTTCAGAGGCCTTTTGTTGCTTTGCCTTCTCATGTTTGTATTGTTTTGTTTGTGTGCTGAGGTCGATTACAGTGAAAAATCTTTGTTGCAACTATGGAGATCTCTTTAGTTAGTGTCTGCTTTTCAGTGATGCACCCTGTATGTGGCTAACTATAGGCTTTTGCCTCTGTCCCAAGGTCCAACCATCTCTGTTCATTTGGGGAAAAGAGTACAGTGTAATCGGCCCAGCACCCAGTTCTCTGGAAATGATCCACAGTATTGTTGATGATGCAAAGACAAATGAGATACTGGCGTACAGTTAAAAAAAATAATAAAAAAAAATAGTAACAACTATGGTACCCAGGTAATAACAAAATCAGCAGCAATAATAGAGTCAAAGGCATCTAGATATTGACATATCATAAGAACCAATAAAAGCTACCACTGTACCACCCTTAACCATAGAAATGAGATCTGTAATTATAGTATAGAAACAAAAACAAACCAAATATTGACAGAGTAAAAATATCTACGAAATGCAACAACTGTACCAACATTAACAGTAGAAAAAGAATTCTAGAGTAATACTAACTAGTAAAAATGGAGGGAGGGGATAGCGAAAGGGAGAAGAAAGAAGTAAAATTTTAAAATTAATGAAAAGCAAGATGAGAAGGAGAGAAAAGTGAGATAAAGGAGCCTATTAGGAAGTAAAAGAGGGCCCGGGATTTAGCTCAGTGGTTCCGGTGTCTGCCTTACAAGGACAAGGTCCTGAGTTCGAGCTCCGGTACCAAAAAAAAAAAGTAAAAGAAAATTAATAGAATAAGGTAAAAGTAACAAAAAAAGAACAAACAAGAAAAAGAAGAAAAGAGAACAAAGTAAAGAAAAAGAACAAATAAAAGGAAAAAAGAGAAAGAAAAACAATTTCAAAATTCAATTATGAGAAAATTTTTTTAAAGAGTCCAAAAATTCCTGTGTTTTTGAATGAGTGGCTTCTTCCAGTGTCTGGATTATTGGAATCCACCAGATATGAGGAAGGGATCTGAGTCACTTCTAAGACCTGTTCTGTTTTTATACTCATGTTTTGTGTGTAAATGTTGAATCCTGCCCACCTTCCTGCTGGGCATTGTCAGTCAGTGGTTTCCACCCTAGGGCTATAGTCACTCTGGCAGCTCTGATTCTGTATTCCTCTGTGTACCAGTGAGGCTTTCTCCTGAGCTTTATAGCCTATGGGTTGTGAGTTGGCCCCCATGGCTCCAGACGCCCTCTATCTGCACACCCCAGACTGTGGCAACTGTCCAAGCCAGTGCTCACATTGGTGATGGGGAAAGTGAGCCAATCATTGAGTTCTGTGCTGTATGCAGGCAGCAGGGTGGGATTCAGGCAGATTGCCAGGCTCATGTCTGAACTTTCAGACCTAGCCCCATCTGAGAGCTACACGTGATTGGCCTGGCTTCTCACCATGGAGGGCAGGACCCCCAAGTCTTTCCCAGCCTGAGCTTAAAGTTCTCAGGGAGGTCTGTGTCTAGCTGCACCCTCTCTGTAACTGTCCTTGTGGCCATCTCCCACCCAGGCACTGTGGTAGGGTGAAACCAGAATCCCTGAAGTACAGTTGTTCTGTGTCTGTCTTAACAATTAACCCCTTCCCAAAATGGCTTCTGATTATAAACCACTAGATTTCTTCTCCAACTTGAGCCTGCTATGCTGAAGAAGTCAGAGTAAAGCCCCATGCTGTTTTTGCAGTTCACAGTAGCTGTGGGCTTTTCCTGGGGCTAGTGCTGCCAGCCTGGTCCATTGTTTCCCTGGAGCTGCCTACCCTTTCCAGGCTTCCTTTGTGTTCGTGGGGACAAGTCGCTCGTCCTAGGAGCTGGGCTCACTTTTTAGACTGCTTCATTTTCTCTGAGTTGTGCTGTTTCTCAAACTTCTGTGTAGTTTCTAGTTTCCCTGTCAGCTCCTTCTTTTTTTTTAGTTTCAAAGTACATGGGGGGCCAGGAGGTCAGTGCCTCAGAGCAGACAAAGACACTCTGAGCTGGTCACTATTTATTGGGTATACACAATAATTGGAGGGAGCATCAGCTGACTTGGGGCAGTGGTAATCCTATGTAGATGAGGACTTTATGTTGATGAAGGTCTTATGTTAATGAAGGCTGTAAGGAGAGCATTATTTTTTTCTTTTACAATTAACTATACTTTTTGTACAGAGGATTGAACTCAGGACCTTGTGCTTTCGAGGCAGGCTCGGTGCCACTGAGCTTAATTCCCAGCCCCAGAGAGCATTTTTACAATAGTAGCTAGGATAAGATAGCAGGCCAATAAAGTTGTCCTTCCTCCCTTCTTTTATTACTACTGGAATGTCTTCAGCTGATGTACACTTGCCCTTGAGCGTCACAGCATCACAGGACCATTGAGGCCTCAGCTGTGACTGGAGGCAAAGTGGAGTTATGTTTTTGCACCCCATAGCCAGCTCGAGGGCCAGGTGACATTGGGCCTTAGACAGGTATAGTCATACCTAAATTATGAAATGATTTTCCCCAAAATTTATGTGGAATGGCTCTCGACAGATCCCCCTTTCTTTTTATTTGCTTGTAGAAGTTGGATCATCATGATCTGTGGTTCCAGCGTCTTCAGATGTTGTTTGGTCTGGCCCCCTCTGCAGCAGACTTTCACTTTTCTTTGGACGTCTTCTGAGTTTGCCCATGGAGTCCTCTTGCCATCTAACACACCATGGGTCCTTTCTTCTACTCCACTGGAACTTCCCTCCCAGGATTGCATGCTCCCATCTCGGGCCCCAAATATTGGAGGGCAATCAATTCTCCAACTGCCTAGAAGGGAGGACAGTGAGGGCTAAAGAAAGACAATAGAGACTTGTGTAATTTCACAGTGCATGGGGGCCTGGAGGTCAGTGTCTCAGAGTGGCCAAAGACCAGCTCCTTCTTGATTCCCAGAGATCTAATTCTTTTTTTCTCCTTATCAAGTTGTTTTCTAGGTTTCTCAATTCCAGGTCTCAGAGAGGCTGTATTCTTCTTCTGAGTACTTTTTGTTTGTTTTATTCATTTGTTTTTGTTTGTTTGAGGGGAGAATGGTCTCATTGTGTTGCCCAGGCTGGCCTCAAACTCAGGTTCTCCTGCCTTAGTCTCTCTAGTAACTAGATTATAGACATGTGGCACCATACCCAGATCTAAGTACTTTCATTGACATGCCATCCAAGCAGGATGGCACATGCCTGTAGTCCTAGCCCTTTGGGAGACTGAGGCAGGAGGATCACTGGAGCCTAGGAGTTCGAGACCAGTCTGGGCAACATAACAAGATTCTGTCTCAAAAAACAAAAACACCCAAGGAACATCTGGCCTTATTTTTTGAGAAATGTCTTCCTTTTCTTCAGGATCTGTTACTGATTTATGTGTTATATTTCCTTGAAATTACATGAAATGAACCTGAAATGAAAAAGCTGTACAAATGATTCCTGTCTTGGGGATGTGCATCTTATGTACTCCCTAGAAGATTTTGTAATAGATTTAGGGCCTTTAATATCAAGATGTATAACAGGACAGAATTCTTGGAACTATTACTCACCTAGAATAAACGTTTCAGTTCTGTACAAGCTATTTCAAGTGTTCTGTATTTAATAATATTTGTTCTTTTTTTCCTCGACAGTCTCTGGGATCCAACCCCTCCCTAGAAGATTTTGTAATAGATTTAGGGCCTTTAATATCAAGATGTATAACAGGACAGAATTTTTGGAACTATTACTCACCTAGAATAAACGTTTCAGTTCTGTACAAGCTATTTCAAGTGTTTTGTATTTAATAATATTTGTTCTTTTTTTCCTCGACAGTCTCTGGGATCCAACCCAGGGACTTGCACATCTTAGGCAGGAACTCTACAACTGAGTTATACACCCAGCCCTCATAGTTTTTTTTACCCCAGAAATTAATAAGGACACTTGTTAAGTGTCCATAGATGTACAGAATTTCATGTGAGATTTATCAGTGTAGACGGGTTAGACATCCTACCTACGTAGATGAACCTCCTGGGAGAGATTTGTCTCTTTTCATCACTGTGTGGAACTACTCTGTGGTTTTGTTTCCCTCGCAGAAGCTGCCCCCAAAGCGGCCAGAACTTCCCCCAGCTCTAATGAGAATGAAGGATGGGCCTGAAGTGGAAGAGGAGGAAGAGGAGGAGGAGGATGAAGAGAAAGAAAAGGAGGAGCATGAAAGGAGAATGGAGGATGGGAGCAGTGGGCGGCTGCCGGAGCTAGAGACAGAGGCAGCAGGACAGGAAATGAGTGTTCCCGCAGCTCTCACGGGCTCTAAGGAAGCAAAAGGCGGTGGTAATAGCTTTCTTCTCCTCCCTGTGCTGTTCAGTGTGGCAGCTGGATTAACCTTGGATAGGGTTAATAAAGCAAAGCCAGTTCTTGCCTGTGCATTTTCACTTTATATATGTGATAATGCTGACTCTATAGCAAGAAAATGTTTCTTCTTAGTCTTCTTTTTCCCTTGCCAGTCATTATTCCACTGCAAACTAAGGGCAGGTTTTTCCAGTCTGATGCAGAATTATAGAAGATTGAAATTTTTGGAATCTGAAGCCATAGCTGTTGGGGAATAATCCTGAGCTGCTGCCCCTGTATAAGCAGGAGGGTCAGCGTAGTGTGGATGGTGGAGCCTGATCAAGTGGTCTTACTCATTTTCCTGCCCATCCCTAAAACAGAGGCTAAGCGTAACTGCCTAGTGGATTAAAGTTCTCAAGGAGGATCATGCCGCTGGGGATGTAACTCAGGAGTGGAGTGCTTGCCTACTATGCTCAAGGCACTGAGTTCAATCTCCAGTACTATAAGAGAACAAAGAAGAAAGATTGCTGAGTGTGGTAGCACATGCCTGTAATTCCAGCTACTTGGGAGACTGAGGCAAGAAGGTTTCAAGTTCAAGGCCAGCCTGGGCAACTTGGTGAGAGAGACCTTGTCTCAAAAAGAAAAGAAAAGAAAAGAAAAAGGATCATGCTTCACTTATCTTTTTGTCTATACTACCCAGTAGAGAATCTGGCAGGTAGTAATCACCCCCTTAGAAAGTATTTGATGAAAAAAATGTGGAAATAAAGAATTGAGTTTATTTATTTATTTTTTTGGTATGTGTGTGGTTGTTTTGTTTTTTGTTGTTTGTACTGGGGATCAAGCCCAGTTCTACCGCAGAGAGCTTACACCCCTAGCCTCCACCCACACCCATACATTCAGGGTCTTGCTGAGTTGTCCAGCTGAGTTGCTGAGTAGCTTTGGACTTGTCATCCTCCTGCTTCAGCCTCCCAAGTAGCTAGTATTGCAGATGTGTGCCACCATGCCTGGCTGAAGAGATTGATTTTTAAATTATTTTTGGTTATAAAGGAATACATATTCATTTTAGATAGATCATACATAAAATTCCAGAGAAGAAATCTCTCAAAATTTCATCCCTAGAAATTAATTTTTTAGTATCCTCTTACCTTCAGTCAACTACTTTATTTTCTTACAGGTTGTTAAACTGCTTACTTGGTAAGATCTCACAGAGAATGGGGAACATGAGGAAAAATATAAACTGGAATTAAATGTGTGTGGGAATAGTGTGCATATCAGCTTTCAGACTACACTTGTCTGCCTAAAAACATGAGCCCTGAAATGTAGCTCTTCTTTTAAATCACCTCCAGGTGTCTGAGGGACAGAAAAGTTACTATTTCTACATCTGTGACAGGTGCATCTGTTGTATTTGTTACTGGCAAAATGCCTTAGCTTTTAAAAAGGTACTTACACATACTATTTTTTACTCTGATCCTGGTTTTTCCTTAGTCTGTATCAGCAGAAAGGGATCATACCATCAGAAAAGGGAAGGATAGATATATCTATATCTGTATCTCTGTCTATATCTATATATGTATGTGTATGTAGAGATTTTTATATACATATCTGTATCTATGTCTATAGCTGTATATCTGTCTATATATCTGTCTATATATATCTATGTATGTGTGTATGTATATATATAGAGATAGAGATTTTAATATCTCTATCTATCTAGATAGAGATTTTAATATCTATATCTATATCTTGTTTAGGGGGCCAAAATATATATGTGTGTGAAACAGCATAGATTTACAAGTTTTAAAACTTGGTTTATAAGATTAAATAGTTAGTAAATCTGCAGCTGTTGAAGGATTATTCCAGGCCCTTTTTCTTCTGCCTTCTCACTTATTTTTTTACAGCGTGAGGATCATACTGTTCATTTTATTTTATAGTCTGCTCCCCGCCCCCATGTCTTAAAATGTTTTAAAATGTGGTTTTTACTAAGGGGCATAGTGGTCCATTGCATGTTTATATTATAATTTGTTTCAGATATTTATTTTTGCTGTTGTAAGCATACTTGTAAATAATAAATCTTGGTGCTCACCTCTGATTTTTTAAAAAAATATGTTCCTGGGGCTGGGGATTCAGCTCAGTGGTTCTGCCACCTGCCTCACAAGCATGAGGTCCTGAGTTCGATCCCCGGTACCAAAAAAAAAAAAGATTCCAAGAAAAATATGTTCCTGGAAGTAGAATTTTTAGGCCAAGGAGTTTGTAAATTTTTAAGACTTTTGGTAACTATTGCCATTGCTCGTTTTAAAGTGGAAAATTGCTGGTTCCCTGTTAGACATCTGGAGTCACATTTATTGAAAACCTTAAAATTAGGCAAGTGTAATAATAGTAAAACTGGATGCTGTACATAGTTTTGCTTTTTTGTGTTTTGGGGGTTTTGGGGGGTTTTTTGCATTCTACTGTGAATTAAATGCTATGCTTTGGTACTCCTTTTTATAGAAAACACGCCTCAACTCAGCCAAGTAGATCAGAATAAAGGTTATCAAGAGCCTAGTAAGACAGCTTCATCACCAGAGGAGGCCTCAGGTAAGCAGCACAGCAGGCTCCGCTGCTGCTCTGCATGTTGGCGCCACCTGGTTTCATGATGAGGGTTGGCGGCCAACCTGTGAGGGCTCAGGCATGGCCAGACCAGTGCTAGATAGTTGCAGCCGCCAGGTCCCTGATGAAACTGGAATGTGTAAGGGGCCTGTGCTTGATGCCAACCCTTATACCTGCTGGGGCACTCTCTCCCTGCCCCACAAAGCTCCTAATCCCTGGATGCTTCTCTCTGGCCAGACAAAGCCTGACCCAGTTTTACATCTTCCCAAATCAATATGACTTCCTGTAAAAGTGATTCCAAACCTATTAGAATAAATTAATTGAAAGTATGGTCTACTAGAAAGGCTGCTTTTGTCTGGTTTTACTTGTAGTGTTTACACCTTGGAATGATAAAAGCAATGTCATCATTTTCAAGCTTGTAGAATAGCCTTAGGACTTAAAAACTAGGGATATTAGTGAAGGAAAAAAATTTTCTCTCCTTTCTTTCTTTCTTTTTTTTGGTACCCGGGATTGAACTCTGTACTAGCGAGGCAGGTGCGGTGCCACTGAGGTAAATCCCTGGCACTCTCCTTTATTTCTTAAAAATTTTGGGTGGCCGGGGATTTAGCTCAGTGGTTTCACTGCCTGCTGTGCAACCGCAAGGACCTGAGTTCGATCCCCAGTACCAAAAAAAAACAAAACCCAGGACTTCTCACATGTTAGACAGAGCTTTACCACTAAGCTACATCCCAGCCCTTATTTATTCATTTATTTATTTTTGGTACCAGGGATCGAACTCGGGTCCTTGCGCTCGTGAGGCAGATCCACTGAGCTAAATCCCCAGCCCTCCCAGCCCTTATTTTATCTTGATACAAAATGTCACCAGGTTGGCCATGCTGACCTCAAATTTTGAATCCCTCTGCCTCAGCCTCCCGAGTAGCTGGGATTACATGCAGGTGACATTGTGCCCAGCCCTTCTTAATACAATTTCACAGTGGTAAATATTACCAATTTTTTTGAGTACTTACAACAAGTTTGAGGAATTTTCTCTTTTTATATTCTTTTTATATTCTTTTTTTTTTTTTTGTACCGGAGATCAAACTCCAGTCCTTGCGCCTGCACAGCAGGCGGTGAAACCACTGAGCTAAATCCCCGGCCCCTATATTCCTTTTCTAAAAGTAGTTATTACTATTTTTTTCTGAAATTAGCATCAAAGAATGAATATGAGAGCAGCACTGAAGAATTGAAGAAAAAGAAAGCTCCTGGTCCAGGCAGAGTAAGTACCTCACTCCTCCTAAAGTAAACATGAATGTGCTTGTCATACCTGAGTGTAAAACTTTGGAGACCAACTTAACAGAGTTCCCAGCAGCTTTAGCCCCTCTCCTAGAAATCTGGACTCTTTTTTTTTTTTTTGTAGCAGGGATCGAACTTGGGACCTTGCGCCTACAAGGCAGGTGGCAGAACCACTGAGCTAAATCCCCGGCCTGAAATCTGGACTCTTAAATATTTATTTTTGTGAATTCTCTCTTCTTGTCTCTGTCTACCCTGTTTCTTATAACTGCTCACATGTAGGCTACCTCTTTTACTAATTTGTGACTTTTCATATCCTAGCATGCAAAGACATTACAACAATATGTTCTTATTTTTCTCCTTCACTACACAAAAGATAATTGATGTACTCCATTCTATATCTTAATGTTTTTAAACTATCGTGAAAATCGTTCTACATCTGTATATCAAGGGCTTCCTACTTCATAGATATACCTTACTGAACCAGTTTTCTGCAGATGGACCCTTGGGTTGCTTCTAGTCTTTTATTACACCAGTGCTATGATAATCTTCTCTATGTATGAATTTGTACGGGTATGGCAGGCCCCTAGAAGTGGGGTTGCCAGGTTGTCTCAGGACACCCCAAGCCCACCCTCAGGTAATTCAGAAGAGGACTCAACACATGGGTTTACTCACAGCTGTGATTTCCTACAGAGAAGGGCACCAGGCACGACAGCAGGGGAAAGGCACCGGGGATGAAATCCTGGGGAGACTAGGTGCGAGCTTCGAAGGGCCCTCTTCGGTGAGGATGCACAGGATGTGCTTAGCTCCCTAGCAGTGAGTCCCTACAGACGTGGAATATTGCTGTCTAGAAACTCATTTGCTGGGGATTGATCAGGCATTCCCAGCCTGGCCTGTCCCCAAATTCCAGACTCCCAGACAGAAAGCAGGTGGGCAAACCACGTTTGTGGACAATAGAGGTGACAATGGAGTCACCCGTATCAGGGTAGCAGTAACCTCCGAAGGCCAGTCTTACCAAGGTTAGCAGTCAAAGGCTAGCAGTCAGCTTTGTTCTATTAACTCCGTTCTCCACCTGAGTCAAAGACGAATGCCTCCTCAGGGTTACTCCATTAAGGATTTATATCTGTAGTATCTTACCTCCCCTGTTGAGGAATGTCACATCATTCTCACTGGCTGGAAAATCAGCTTGTTAAAGTTTTGTGGAAAAGATTCAAGATTCAGAAAGAGAATGCTCCCTCAAATAGGTTATTGATGTCAGGATCACTAAGAGGCTGGGCAGAGTAGCACATGCCACAACTCAGGAGGCTGAGGCAGGAGGGTCACTGCAAGTTCAAGGGCAGCCTGGGGTACGTAGTGAGACCTTGTCTCAAAATAAAAGAAAAAAATCACTAACGGAAGCTGTTCTCTTTTAGTTTTTGTTTGTGGATGCATGTAAGGATGGCAATTCTTAAATTTTTTGAGTACAATAATCCATCTTTTCTTTGCAGTTTCTACCCACACTTTCTTCGAAATATCCTGAAGATGACCCAGACTACTGTGTGTGGGTTCCACCTGAAGGTACATTGTTTTTATTTTTTCTCCAAGAGTTATTTATGTTTTGTTTTGTTTTTTTGGTACTGGGGATCGAACTCGGGTCTTTGCGCTTGTGTTTTTGAATAGTTAAGGTATATTTAAAATTCAAAATAAAAAAGTTATAAGAATATGCAGTGAAAGGTCTTCATTCTGGAGGAACAGATTAAAAGGTCTAAAGTAAGCCGAGCATGGTGGCGCATGCCTGTGATTACAGCATTCAAGAGGCTGAGGCAGGAGGAGCATCTGCTCAAGGCCAGCCTGGGCTGCATAGTGAGTTCAAGACCAGCTTGGACTATAGAATGAGACCCTGTCTTAAAAAAAGAAAAAAGGATCAAATATAATTTGTGTACCCTGTTTGGATCCTTAAACAACTGTTAAATTATCCAATCAGATAATTTTGAACACTAGCTCAACATTTGATGATAGTAATAATTTTTTTTTTTAATGATGTTATGTTTGGGAGCCAAGTTCTTTATTTTATTTTTTTGAGACAGGGTCTCACTCTGTAGTTCATGCTGGCCTTGAACTCACTATGTAGCCCAGGTTGGACCTCAAATTCACAGTGATCCTGCTGGCTCAGCCTCCTGAGTGCCTGGACTACAGGTTTGCGACACCATGCCCGGCTTCTGTTTACTTTTGCGTGTATTTTAACTTTATCAAGTTAACAGGAAGAAAAATCTTTAGGCTATGCCTCAGCTGCTCACTTTTTTCTCTAAAGACAGCCAAATACTGTCAATTTCCTATTAATTCTAGCATAATATATAAATGCCTATTTTGGCAGTGAAACACTTATCTTACCACTTTTTCTGCACCAATGGAAGCATTTTGTTTAAATAGCTCTTTCAATGAATATTTGCTGTTTCCAGGGTTTTTTTTTGCCATTACAAACAATTCTGCAAACATATGTAACTTTTAATATATGTGATATATAAATTATAGAGGTGCATCTAGAGGAAAAAATAAGTTAACCTGTGGAATTAAAGATATGAACATCTTGAAGATAGTCTGAATTGCATTCTGTAAAGATTGTACTGGTTTCATGCCCATATATACACACTTAAGGGAATGAACGAGATGCCATTTTCCCCATGTTCCCATGCATGTTGCTTTTTCTGTGACGGTGTTTCTAAGATACTAGTCATTAACAGAAATTTACTTACTAAAAGTGTTGATGGGCCAGGGATTTAGCTCAGTGGTTCTGGCGCCTGCCTCGCAAGTGCAAGGTCCCAAGTTTGATCTCTGGTACCAAAGAAAAAGAAAAAAAAGTGTTGGGTTTTTATTGGCTAATAAATATTAGGGTAGAAGTGAATACAAAAGCAAAATTTCTACTAAAGAAGAAACTTCCTTATTTGTTTTACTTTTGGCCTATTGATGTCTGGATATCTTTTCCCTCTTGATTTTGGAAGAGTAAATATACTTCTTTCTTATTTTATACTTCGATGTAGGTCAAAGTGGAGATGGCAGAACCCATCTGAATGACAAGTATGGCTATTGATTTCCGCAGACTCCCAAAGGAAGACCTTGTGGACCATGTACATAGGACATTTTGAATGCTATGTCAAGTTGAGACCAGAGAAGTTCAGATGACCATTTGTAAAGTCTGGTGACTGGCCTTTTCTTCCATGCTCTTGGCTGTTTAAAGTTATCTGCCCATCTGATTCTCCTGAGATTTTGGTATTTATGTCTAAAAGGATTTGTGTATATATGTAAAAAGGAAACCACATACTTTGACAATTAGAAAAGTGAGACACGTGAGAATACAAAAATGTCTGTAGTGTTGATTTAAGACCAAGCCTCTTTGATTAAGACTGAAGGACTATGGGCCTGAGGCTTGCCCAGCATGCATGAGGTCCTGGGTGTGATCCCCACATCATGACAAAACACAGAGTAAAACCAAAACAGAACAGGCTTTTCCTGAGCACTGGGATGCCTCTGGCAGTCAGGCTGGAGAATTCACTGATATAATGTCCTCAGGTAACTAGTGAAGTAGGGTCTGCCTTGGGTTTGACTCCGAATGTCCTTGTCCCTAGAACTAAAAATAGATTTGCAGTGGGGCTTCATACTGACTTGAAATGCGATTTCTCCACCAGGTTTGAGAATAGACCCTGACTTATCAGGACATAGTCAACTTAGCCCCATCTCATGCACTTGGCCACCGGTCTGATAAGATCTCAGCCTAATGAATGTTCTGGATTCTGCGTGACTAATGGGTTAGTTATCCCTCCTCTTGTGGAAGGGCACAAATAAGGTCATGGAATGAAAAGCAGAATGTCTCCTGCTCGGGGCGGGACTTCTCACCTCTGTGGTGAGGAAAGTAAAAGTTCCTTCCTGGAAACAGGAGGAAATGCAAGCTGCCATATTACTTCTTCTCTTCTTCCCCGTCATTAATGCCTTATTTCTGTAGAAAGGAAAGTCCGAGAGTGAAGCAGGGTGGAGAGCACTTGAGTTAGGTTGAAGGCAGACATACTTAGCAGGAAAATTGCTACAGCCCAGCTAGAGAGTGGATGAGGCTGTTGCTTTCCTAAAATGGATTATGCATGAAGGTAGACAGAAAGCAGTAATGATAATGAGCAGCTTCCGTTACCCTGGCAGATGTGGGAAGTTTGGCCCACTAAAGTAAGGCACGGTGGCTCATGCCTGTAATCCCAGCACTAAGGCTGAGGGAAGAAGGTCACAAATTTGAGCCCCGCCTGAGAAATTTGGTGAGACCCTGCCTCAAAATAAAAAGGCCTGGGGATAACCAGACATGGTGGCACATGCCTATAATCCCAGCTCTGTGGTAGACTGAGGCAGAAGGATTGAAAGTTTGAGCCCAGCCTGGGCACCTTCATGAGACCCTGTCTCAAAAGAAGAAAAAGGCTACACTGCAGCTTAGTGTGAAGGCCCTTGGTTCAATCTCTGGTACCACCACCAAAAAAAGAAAAAAAAAAGTGTCGAGGGGCTGGGATGTAGCTCAGCAGCAGAGTGCCCCTAAGATCCATCCCCAGCTCAAAAAGAAGAAGGGATGTTGGTACTGTGGAAACTCATTTTGGACTTCGTTCAGGCTGATTACCTGCAGGACTGGTTGAGGAGGTGGGGAGTGACGGGTTTGGGGGCAGAGCGACCACCTCCTTGGATCAAAGTGGTGAGCAGAGGCCTGAGTCCGACCAGTGGTCTTCAGAGGTGAACGTCCATTCAGACCAAGTTGTACATGGAACCCTACTACGTGACCAGCCCAAAATACCCCTGCTCTGGGAGAGGCGAAGGCGCTGGAGTTGGAGCCACAACACGCACACATACAAGTGCACACATGTGCACACCTTCCTTGTTCTGCACTCTCAGTGACTCTGAGAGGTGCTAGATGCTCCACGGAGCACAGCCCGCCTCAGGAAGGCAGATTTCTAAAGGTTCTGTGGACAAGAGGTGTCTTCATAATTTAGTACATCGTGTGTGGTAGCTGACATACTTCGTGCACTCCTGTGAAGTAAAGAAACGTTCTCTGAACTTTGGTGCCTCCAATTTTTTGTCGCGTTTGTGTGGCCCATCATTCTTACCTGTCATCATTTTTCTTCCCACTCCTGTCTCTTAAATCTCCAGTTAACCCTTGATTTAATGGAAACTTGGTGGCAGCCTCACCTGCAGGAGGTGGTGACTTGGGCGAAGAATTCATGAGATAAAATCTCTGACACTGTTGCCAGTGCACTGTGAGCGGGCTGCATGGACGAGGAGGTCCTCATTTATGGTGAGCTCTACTGCTGAGAGATGGGGCCAGTGGCTCTAAGGGAAATGGAGTGGCAAGAATTCAGGCAGGAATTCAGGTTAGAGAGTTAGGACAATGTTCCAGGGGAAGAGGACATGACTGTATTTGAATAAATGCAGATTGTTGTACATGAAAAACAGGCATTCCCTGAAAATAAGCCCTATTGAGTCTTTTGGAGCAAAAGTTAATATAAAACCTGGTCTTATTTTTGGGGAAATACAGTGGGACTGAAAAGAGGAGTTTCCCTGCCCTGAAAATCCTGTGCACTGCACTTACTCATTTTTCCTCTCCAGCCCCTAGCAACCACTCATCTTTTTACCATAATCTGCTGTTCAGTCATGAAGGTGACCGTTCCCTCTGTCCCTTTGTTTCCTTTGCTTTATGCCTTTCCCTGAGGGTTGGAGTGATTTTCCCCGTGCTGATTCAGCTCTCTCCTCTCCAGGTGTGGAGTCGGGGTGACTGTGGGCATCTCCCTGGGCTTTCCTAGAGTTCCAGCGAATGAATTGCCTTCATTTTCAAAGGTTTTCTTTTTCTTTTTCTTTTTTTATAAAGAGATAGAAGAAGTACTTCTCACATGGCATTCTGTCAAGGGTATAGATCCTTAAAAAGTCTCATTATTGTGTGACTTTTATTTTTATTTCTTGTATGTCTAAATTTTGTTTTGTTTTGTTGGTCACAGAACTCCTCACCAGGTGCAGGAGTTGCTTTGGGGCAGTAGTATCTAATAGCAAAAGAGCAACAAGCCAATGAAATGGACAGGCATTGCTGAAACTGGGGGAAAAAGCAGAGTAAAGAGGTGCTGCTCAAGAGTCTCTTCTCCTTTTCTTCTGGAATCAAAACTCTGGGAGAACACGGACTCTTCTTCCTAGGTGTGTGCACAAGGCCTGTCACATTCAATTAACATTTATTGAGTGTCCGCTACAAATATTTTCCTGCAGTTGTCGTGATTCAGGGTAGGAAATACTGAGGCTCACTATCTCCTTGAAGTCCACACCCTTAGCCATTACGACTTTACTGGAACTGGAAGGAGTGAGGCCTCTTGGAAATAAGTCCCCAGTTCTCAACTTCGAAGCTATTAGCCTAGCTGCAGGCTGAGGATCTGTTGCTCTACCATTGAAATGCTGCCACCTCTTGGGTAGGGAGTGACAAGTGACAAGCCAGCAGCTGCAGATGGCTTCCTGAGAGTGGGTGCCAGAGGGAAGCCTGCCAGCCCTGAGGCAATCAATCAAAAGCAAGAGCCAAAGCCTTGGTACCAGGGGCTGAGTCCCCAGATACGATCGGGTCCAACCAGGTGCTGGACTGCTGGGAAGTGACATAAAACTCCTTGACTTTTGGGAAGGGGGTCCCAGCATCAAACCGGTATAGTCTCTTCTGATCCTGAGACTCCTCCCTTGATGTGGGCCTTGAGAGCAGTTTTCAAGATGTCTCTTGTCTCAGAGCAGACTTGTTCCTGTGTTGGGTTTAAAGGTTTAGCACACAGTAGTCCAGGCTGGAACTGAGACTTTTGTTGGAATTTTCGTGCAAAAGCCCTGGGTCTGGGGAACAGGCTCATCCACCCGACCCATAACAGCAATTAAGGAGACGAGTGGTGGTGAAGGGTGGGAGAGGAGCTTTAATCAGCATAGCCATGCTGGAAGCACAGAGGTTCAAGGTCTGTCTTCACGGGGCTCACAGAAGCTCTCAGGTTTATAGGAAATGACTAAAAGAAAGCATTGTGGGTTTGCATAGCTGGCGGTATAGGTATCTTGGTCAGGCTGTGGTCTGGTGGCTTAGTAGCGCAGCACTGGTTCTGTGAGGTTCTGGGCAGCCATTATCGCTCCTGCTTTGGGGGACAGCTTCAGCTGCTGACATGGGGTGAGTCATCTCTGGGGGGTCTGGGGGCCTCTGCAGGTTTAGGACAATGACTCAAGACTTGTAAGCATCAGTCCAGGGAGTCTGGAGCTGGATGCTGTAAAAGCTGACAATTGCATATCCTTGCAAATCCTGAAGATTACTTCAGTTACTCTTATCTGTGTCCTTAGTCTTGAAGGGGATGAAATAGGCCAAGTAAACTTAGGGCTAATAAAGTGCGTACTCCTGAAGTGCAGAGCTGAGCAGGGATCAACCCAAAGTTGGGAGATACATGAAATGAAGGCAGAGATGCCATGGTTTATCGTGCTTTTAATTATCCATTAGGCATCTGCTGACCCGGATTTTAGGTACCTGTTACAATTCCATAGGAGACCAGAAAACCTCCCCTTAGAATGAGGCATTAAAGAGGCAGGTTGGAGGGCTCAGCACATGAGGGCACTGGTTCTCAATAAGGGCTGCTTTTCATCTCTCCATGCAGAGGTTTCAGGCTGCCTCCCTCACCTCATGACTCCTCACAGGCCTTCTTCATCTTCGCCTCAGCAGCTCCTTATACATCTCAACCATTGCTGAGAGAAATGACTTGCTTTGAAATCTCTGAAGTTTCTCCACTATCTAAAGAGTGAGGTCCAAATTCTTTTGAGCCTTCAAACCCTTTATGATAGGGTTCTTGTGCTTCTTGGTCATTGTGACCCCACAGTGCCCTTGTCCCTCCCTTTGTGCCACTTGATGAGACATGCCTGGTACTCTGGTGATACAGCAACAGGTTGTTTTCCCTGAACACACCCTTCCCTTTCCTTCTGCCTGTATCTTCTATCAAGCCTTGCTCTACAAGCCTTGAACTGCAGTTTCCTTGTCTGTTAAGTACAGAAAATAATACATACCTACTAGCATTGTTGTGGGGATTAAATAACTGAAATATGTGTAAAACTTCAGCCATGCTCAACACATAATTGCTTCCCTCAGATAGTAGTTGCTGTTAATATTATTGTGGTTTTCCTTGCTCATGTTTGTTGGTTAAGCTCCTACTCTTTAGTAGACTTCTGTTTTTGGGGGGAAGGGGATCGAACTCAGGACCTTGCACTTTTGAGGCAGGCGCCGGAACCATTGAGCTAAATCCCTGGCCCAGTAGACTTCATTTTTTAAAAAAGTGGTTCTATGTAAATAGGATGTCATTTTACGTAAGGAATTTGAGCTTCTGTAGATTATGGTGCCTGCAGAGAGTCCTAGAACAATTCCCATGGATACCAAGGGACAACTGTACTTAGGGACTTAGTTATTAGCAGAAAATTCCTGATTGGTAGTGTCTTCTCCAAAACGGGAATTAATCAAATGGTTCTTTATCTCTCCCACAGTGATATTTTGGAAGCTTTTTTAGAACAGTTCATGGAAAAATTGAGTGGAAGGGTCAAAGATTTTCCATGTATCCCTGCTCTCAAAATACACGGCCTCCTATTATCAATGCCCCCCATCAGAGGGGGATGTCATTTGTAACTGACATCACGATCACCTAAAATCCAAGGTTTAGTTAGGGCTCACTTTTGCCATTGTACTCTGTATGGGTTTGGACAAGATGTATGTCACGTATCCACCATTATATACAGATGGCTTCACTGCGCTAAAGATCCTTGTTCTACTCTTCCCTCCTGCAGGTCCTCTCCTCATCAGGAAACTTCATGATCCTCATAGTTTTCACCAGTCCCTCGCTTCTCACTGTATTTCACACTTTATTTCTACTTCTATTAGTCCTCATTCCAGTGGTGTGATATCTGTTCATTATATATGTGCGTGGGTTACTTAGTTTGTAAGATATAAGTTCTTGAGGTCAAGAGTTTGTACCCCATCCCGTTTCACCTAGTAGTTCACAAGCTAGGTGCTTGGTTAACTATTGGTTTCGATGGTTTGGAGTTTGTAGGATAGGCTCTATTCCCAGCCCTTCCTACCCTTTGCTTTTCCTGGCAGAGGAAGGAAACCTCACACCTACCTTCAGTTACAGGACCTTGCACAAGATGTGCAGGACGAGGTGAGATCTGACCATTTTAGCAAGATTAATCCAGAGGCCCGGATACTTGTCCTACTTGGGCCAAAACCAAGCAGGAACTACTCTCTCCCATCAAGGAGCTCTGGATTTCACCCGCTGGCTTTAATGTGGATATTAAATCTCCCACTGGGCTTGGAAATCTCTGATCTTAAAAATTGGCTCTGATCTCTTCAGTTCTGCCTTTGTCACGCGCAACCCTTTCAAAGTCCAAGCAGCCATGGCAGAAAGTGGCCACGTGGGGGCAGTAGAGATCCGTCACAATGCCCCAAACTAGTACAGGGTGCTGAAAGAAGGTAGGTATTTCAAATAGCAGAGGAGGAAGAATCAGAAAAACAAGACTCCAAAGGAGGCAAGGGCAGCAAGGTGATTCATTCTACCAGTGCTTCTGGAAGCAGCAGGGTAGCCAGGGACCATTGGTAAGATCCAAATGCTGCTTCCCAAGTTGTTAGGCACTGGGTTTCTCCTGGAGAAAGTCTCCAGTTACAGTGAAAAGACTGCATGGAAGAATCTGAGTATTACCTTTTTTTTTTTTTTTTTTGGTACAGGGATCGAACTCGGGTCCTGGCGCTTGCACAGCAGGCAGCGAGACCACTGAGCTAAATCCCCAGCCCACCTCTTTGTTTCTGACAGCTGTATTATACAGCCTGATGGTTTTTCACCCACCTCCCCCTTTCTGAAGGAGTCTCCTACCAGTCAGTATTGAAAAGCAGAAGGAAGACATAGCATCCTCTCTACTGAAGGAAAGTCGAAGTGACTGCTCAAAGGCACACTGAGCTTGTGGTGGAACCAAATCTGGATCAGTTTCTTTGAGTCTGGAGCCTTTGCTTATCCCTTCTAGTTTTCAGTTGTTTATGTTCGTAAGGTGAATGTTTTGTTGTTTTGTTTGCTTGTTTTGCAGTACTGGAGATCAGATGGTATCTGGGGCCTCACACTCCACCCACAGCCCCATCAACAGGTTTTTAAGAGCAAGCACTGCTGATTCATCTTCAGGTTTTTGAATGGTGCCCCTTAATCTTTAGAGCTATGCCTGGGTGTGTTGTAGAGGGCCTGTCCCTTAGGAGTTGGATTCCATGATTCGCTTCTTACCCTCCATGACTCAATCCCTCTGTAACTGCAGTTAAGGCACAGCCCTAACAAACACAGTGGTGGCCTTTAGTTGAGGATTTCTTTCCCCTTTTTCTTTTTTGACTTTTATTAGTACGTATTTGCAATACATAATGATTACATTCCCTGTAGGGAATTGTAATCCCGACTGAGCATACATGTACATAATACTGGCTGAGCATTTCAACAAGGGCATCCCCTTGGCTGCCAGCCTAGTAATGCAGAAGGGTGATGGAATATGTTAATTACATATTAAAATGTTATGTATTATTCAATATGTGCCATATTATTGAATATGTCACATATTGTTGCTTAGAATGAGGTCAACTTAAAATGAATGTAAGAAAAAAACTTAAAGAGTAGTACTATGCAACAAAGCAAGAAGCATGAAGCAAGTGTACCAATGGCAAGTTCAAGAAATTGTGGTGAGGTAGGAAGATGTAACAAAACTACCTAGTTACTGTGTGTGTGTGTGTGTGTGTGTGTGTGTGTGTGTGTGTGTGTTACCATGGATGGAACCCAGGGCCTTGAGTGTGCTAGGCTAGTGTTCTTCCCCTGAGCTATATCTCCAGCATTTTTTTTTTTTTTGAGTCAGGGTTTTGCTAAGTTGCCCAGGCTGACTTCAAGCTTGTGTTCCTCTTGCCTCAGCCTTCTGAGTAGCTGGAATTACAGGCATGCACCACCATGTCCAGCACAGTACTAATTCAAAGTTTGGCTGTCATGCATAGGGCATGGAACCCTGATTAGGCAGCTGACTGTAAATGAGCCTGTTTCCTGGTCTGTGAAGTCGGTGGTGAGGAATTCCTACCCTCCTTAGCTCTAATTGGCATGTGTGCAAGCATGCTGAGTCTGGAATGCACCGTGTTGATGCCTGGCAATGTGAAGCTGAAGCCCGGGCCTCCTCCTTCCACCGCAGACTAACTCCCAGCTGCCTCCACTTCCCAGGGGCCCCAGGCCTGAGTCCATTTTAGCTTGTTGCCCGCACCTGGGTTTGCCACTCTGGGTGGGGAGGAGGGAATGGCTGGAGAAGCCCTGGACTCAAGTCTGGGAACAAGTCCCAGCACATGTCACTGTTTGCTTTGTCATCCTGATTCAATGACTTCATACAAGGAAGGGAGGAGCAGGCGCTGTTCTCTCCCAGATACCTACGGAGGCCTCTGACATCTACTGTTTTCCTTGGCATGAAGAGCAGGCGCTGGCCTGTGATTTCTGAGGTCTGAGCTAATCTTGGAAGCAAAGAGCAGCACCTCCCGAGGCTGGCCTGACTCTGCTTCTTGGGGAGTTGCCTGAGCACAGGGGCAGAGGGCGCAGGGGTGGGTGTCAGGGCCCAGGCTGCCGCCCCTGCAACCTGGAGGGGCCCCAGAACACACAGTGCTGTCCCCACATGCTCACCACTCAGTGCCACCTGAGCCAGTGTTGAGAATGGGGCTGTCACCAGGGAGGGAGAAGGTGCCTCAGCTAGGGTCCTCCTGGGACAGCCGGCAGGAGGGACGGCAGGGTTCATGGGCAGCATCACCCTGTGATCTCAGACATTGACGAGCACTCACCCGCCGTGTACCAGGCCTTTGGGAAACGAAGCAGGCCTGCCTAGTCAAAAGGCCAGAAGGACCTTTTTCTGCCAAGATTCCTTTCATCCCATCCCCTCTGGGACCCTGGATTTAAAGTCTAAATGATTTTATTGGCCAAATTAGATCTGTTAATTTTTCACTTCCAGATTTTTAGTAATCAAATATTTACCAAGCTAAAAAGAAATGTTTCAGATCAACACAAGATAAAGAAAATATTATACTGTATTAATATCCAGTCAGAAAAAAACAAAGAAATCCAGCATTGGAGCTCTCCTGTTAATCCTAGCTGGCAGAGTACAGGGAGCCAGTCCAGGGCTTAGAGGTGTTGGCCTAGCAGCTGACTTTTGGAGGGTAAGTTATCCACGGAGGATGCCGCAGGCAGAGTGGGCGGCCGAGCCAGGTGCTGATTGAGTGGCCTCTGTCCAGGCCTGTCCTTGGGCCCAGCTGCGCCTTGAGCTCAGAAGGCTAGAAGGCAGGGTCTGGACTGGAACCACTGTAGGCGGAGACGAGAACCGGAAATCTTATGGCCGAATATTCCGATCTTTCCACATCACAGACTGGAAGAATGGAAGCAGGAAGTCCCACTGACATCCCTTTTGTTCCCAGGGGCAGGGGGATACAGCAAAACCTAAGCCAAAATTTCTGACCCTGGGCTGGCCTGAAACCTGCCCCCCACCCTGGCTGCCCTGCCCCTTTGCCCCAAAGTAAACCATTTATTTTCTGATTTTTAAAATTTGGCTCATCTCGTAAATGTTCCACAGTCAGAACAGGCTGTGCCACGACTGAAACAAACCTGCTGAACAAATAAACAAAGCAGGCTTGGAGGGGTGGGGCCTCTCCACATGGACCTCACAGGGCCAGAGGCTCTGCAAGGCCTGGGCTCCCTCCTCTCTAATGGGGGTGGGCTAGAATTTTGGGAGTCCCTTCCAGG